GTATAATGGCATGAAGATAGATATTTGAAACAGAAGATGTCAGATTGGATCTAATTTTTGATTAAACATATTTATATTTCAAATCTCCATTTGACCACATAAAACCCTCAAAGACTGAGTGAAAAATAGAAAAAGAATCCTGACACGTACTTTAAAGTGCAGCRAAACTGCCTGAAAGTGTTTAAAATGTGTTTTCTACCACTGATGATCCCATCATTTAAACATTTATGTCTGTTTTGGTTTTATAAAGCGTATTTTAATTATGTCAGGTAACTGTTATATACTTCACAGTTAAAATATTTCCTAACAGTTTAACATCTACTGTAGTACAAGTATAAAGACCTCTTTATCASTAGAACTTTAGTTCATGTTGATATGTAAACACAAAGGAGGCCGATGATGAAACAACAAACAAAMCTCACTTTGTTCACTTTGTTTATGTGTGCTTAAATATAGCCTTGGCCCAACATGTGATCATGTGACCCAAACACTGACTGCTTCCCAACTGAGGATTAACATCTTTACTCAAACAAATGTATTAATACTACACTGTACTTTGTTACAGGCAGAGTTAATAGTAAACTATTTATAGCTCATAAGGGTGACTTTGATACAATTCCTGCAGATTGGTTTAAAAAAATCTAATTCACAACATAACTTTATGCGGGATGACACAAAATATAAATTGTGATTCTTTTTTTTGTGTGTGTATGTGTGAAACTCCTGTTCACAGTTTTTTAACCACATGAGATAATGTTTGATCAAAGCGATACTGAGAAGATCACTCTGTGTGCTTAAGGTGTCTGGTTTCTCTCTGCTCGCATTTATTTTTGGTGCAGTTATTCCTGTTTCCAGCAGAGCTTAGCTCATTCTGTAACGGTAAACACAGACATTTTAAAAGTGCACAAAGTTGAAATCAAGAAGTGTTTGCAACATCAAATGCTTTTGTGTGTCTTCAGATGGGAAATCTAAATTAAAATGTTTTCTATAATAAAACTAAAACCACTTCCTGAATGTTTCTGTACAGACTTTGTGTTTCTGCTCAGACTGAAATAAATGTGAATAACTGATGCCATCTCAGGAAATTGTTTTTCTGTCCTTCTCATATTTTCACAATCAGTATTGACTGGTTCAGTTTAGCTGATATTAAATGTTACCTTTTAGTTCATTTTTTCTGAGTTTTACTTCAACATTGTACTTGTCTGAAAATATTGTGTTTTCAGTTTGTTTATTCTACATTTTTCTATATTCAACATGGTTCATTATTTTAGTCTGTTTCACTCCCTGAGCAGTGCTTTAGCAAAGAAAATATTAAAATAAAACATTCACCTTCTGTGGTCATTTTTTAAAATGTTGTCAAACCAGTTAAATGTTACAAACTATGACAGCAGCATCACATCTAACATCTKAATCACATCAAACAAAATCGGGGCAGATTTCTGCAAACATATGAAGAACTTAAGCAGTAAAGTAGGACATACATATTGCCCCAAGAAACACAATTTTAAATTCAATTTATACTTATTCAATTGTTAGTTTTGGGGGTTTTTTTGTAAATTTTTGTTTTTATAAAAGTCTTATTTTATGATCACACCACACTTCTTTCCATGAATAAAACCCAGTGTYGCATCGAGCTCCGGAGAGGCATGAGTTGCTTTTTCTTGCATTGACAAAAGAAGAAGAGTGTTTTTATTAGTTTTATGAACTTTTTTATTACACAGTTATTTTAAGGTTTAAGTTTGATGTGAGGCTTTAACATTGAATTTAAAAAAACAGTTTTGATAATTTATCAGCTACAACATGCATCCCAGCCCCCGCTGCACCCAGCTGTGAGCACGGAGATGCCTGTGTTTGGGAGGTACAAAGAGGTAAGCCCTCTCATTTTCCTTCTCTTAAAGAGTTAAAGAAAAAACATATCAATTGTGAACATTGCCAATGTGCAATTATTGTACTGCAGGCTGCATTTGGACAACAATTCAGAAAGTAAAGTTTGCCGAAATATATCCACTCAAAAAACCCTCTCATACCAGAGGTTATTCCAGAGTGCCCTGCAGTTCTGTATCAGATTTTAGTGAAATTATAAATTTTCTATGTGACATATTTTCTACTGATGTTGATCATGTGTTTATTGTGATATGTATCATTATTGTTTTCACCCAGCTCTAATGCAAACCGATACTGAGAAGATCACTCTTAGTGTTTTAAAACTTGCCTGATTTCTCTCTGCTCATATGTATTTTTGTTGCAGTCATTCCTGGTTCCATCAAAGTTTATAGGGACTCATTCTGTAACGATGAACACAGACAGTTTAAAAGTCCACAAGACTGAAAAACAGGAACTGTTTATGCTCACACATGACAGTGGTTTCTGTGTCTGAAAAAGAGGCAGCAACGTTACCGCAGAAGTTTATCTGAGTTAACATGTTTGGGATGAAAAATGTCTGTTCTTGTTTTTTATTATTCAGAAAATAACTTTAACTTATCTTTATATTAGAAACACCAAAGCTTGTCTGCTCAGTTTTTCTTTACATTTTAAAAACATCACAGTCATTTACAGTATTACAGATTCTTCTTCTTCTTCTTAAGCCACTTCAATAGAAAACAGAACTTAATATTAGTTTCTTCATCATCAGTGACTTTTTTTAGAGAAGTAAATCTAGAGAATAAGAAAAAGAAAGAGAAGAAAAAGGAGAAATATAATGGGAAAGGTTGAAAGAGAGATTAGAAGATACTGTATGTGAAATATACACCAAGAAAACACAAGACAATGGGCCTCATGCAAGAACTGTTCGTACGCACTAATTTGTTCTTAAGTTGTGCGTACGAGTGATT